ACCTAGAGAGTATAACATTAAGTGAAATATGTCAGACAGAGGAAAACAAATACCATATGATTTCACTCATATGTGGAATTTAAGAAACAAAACAAGAAAAGAGAGACAGACAAAAAAAAAACCCAGACTCTTAAATACAAAGAACAAACTGGTAGTTGACAAAAGGGGGTGTGGGGCATGGGAGGAGTGGGAAATGGGTGAAATAGGTGAAGGGGATTAAGAGTACAGTTATCTTGATTAGCACTGAGAAATGTACAGAATTGTTGAATCATTACATTGTACAATTGAAACTAATATAACACTGTATGTTAAGTACACTTGAATAAAAAATTAAGTAATTATGCCATAACATAAAAAACAAATAAATAAAAACTAAACTACATTTCAGACCCATAAATTTTCAAGAATTACAGTTCTCAGGCAAAAAGCTAATTAGAGCTAATCTTTTATTTTAAAAGTTTATATAATGCTTACCTGAAAACTCGCCCATAATTCCCATGCACTTTATATACACCATAGAGTCGATCTGCTACTCTCTGGAATAAATTTTTAAAAGAAATTACTATTAGATCAAAGTAATATACAGTTTACTCTTTAAAAAAAGAGAAATTTTATCCTCATTAAAAAAATGCTTAGTACAATAAACTTGGAAAATATGAAAAAGAAAAAACTTAAATTTCCCAAAGTCTCATCATGGGGGGAAAAAAACCTGCTGTCATCGTATTTATGTAATTGCTTTTATACACATACACACACACACACATATATAAAAATAAAGAACATATATAAATATGTTTTAATCATTGTTTTAAAATTTCCTATATTAAAAGTGATAGGGGCACCTGGGTGGCTCAGTTGGTTAAGTGTCTGCCTTCAGCTCAGGTCATGATCCCAGAGTCCCAGGATCAACTCCCGCATCGGGCTCCCCACTCAGCGGGGAGTCTGCTTCTCCCTCTGATGCTCTCCCCTCTCATGCTCTCTCTCTCTCTCAAATAAATAAATAAATAAATAAATAAATAAATAAATGGTGTTTTTTTTAAGTGATAATATTTTTATCCAGCAGGTCAATATTCCTTTTAATAAATACCACTTTAATTAGTTGCATAAAATTCCATCTAGCAGTGTATAAAATACATAAGCACTCCTTGTTGGATATTTAGCTATCCTTAAGTTTTTTAGTATTATACATAATGTTTTAATAAACATGTCTGAGAATAAAGTTTTTGCTAAATTTCAGATTGTTTCCTTATGATAAAGTCCTCAAAGTGGCATTTATCAGGGGGAAAAATAAACACTTTCAATTTTATTGATTGTTTTATACATAAATGCTGAATACATACAACATACTTCATTGCTACTTTATCACGATAACTCCTTCTAACCAACACGTTAGATATTTTAATAAAAATAGAATTATAATTTAGATCGAGATGAAATATATACTGCCTAGCTATTCACACAAATTTTACAGAAGACAAAACACCACAAACTCTCCTCCAAAGTGTTAGAACATGAACCAAAGACCAAAAGTAATCCCACATAAAACCCTAAACCCTAAAAAAATTCACAAAAAAATTCTTGGTACACAGTTTCTAAATGTAAACCCTGAGGATAAATTATGTCCCTAATTCCTTACTCAAATGTGAATCATCTGAAGAATTAGGCGTTAACCATACAACAAATCCTAACCCTTTCAATACTTTCAGCTTGAAGTGAATGAACCAGCACTAAATACTTGGAGCGGGTGTAAGAGGAACATAAAATGTTTTCCATCTCTCCTTGGCTTGCCCACTAGACTAGGGAGCAGCACCCACAGGACTGCAGCTTGTTTCTGTAAAGTCTTATTAGAACATTCATGTCAGCATTGTCTATGGCTGCTTTCATAGCAGAGCTGAATAGATTTTACAGGGATCATATGGCCCAAAAGGCTGAAAATATTTACTATCTGGCCTTCAGTAAAAGTCTGCCCATCCCTGCACTAGACTCAGGACAAAGCTCATAGTCTTCATTCTGCTTGAAACATTCCAGAGTTGTCCCCAGACCTCTCAACTAATTTCTCTAAGGATGTTATTTCCCAATTATTTTTTGAGTCCGATAGAGAGTGTCAAAGGTTGTTTGCTTTTTTTTTTTAAAGATTTTATTTATTTCTTTGACAGAGAGAGAGAGCACAAGTAGGCAGAGTGGCAGGCAGAGGGAGAGGGAGAAGCAGGCTCCTCACTGAGCAAGGAGCCTGATGTGGGACTCAATCCCAGGACCCTGGGATCATGACCTGAGCCAAAGGCAGACACTTAACCGACTGAGCCACCTAGGCGTCCCAGTTGTTTGCTTTTTTTAAAGTTGTTCCATCATCAAGTAAGTTTGGGAGATAATAAAATTTAACACTTTTCTTTTCCACAGGACTTTTTAGACCTTTAACAACATATATGAATCATGACTATTTAAGAGAGATATGGTTTGCACTAGAAAACATCATACAGAACTGGCATTCCAGAGAATATGAAATGGAAAATGCCACTCTGGACCACTAACTTTCCTAGATCTTTGTACTTTAAAGATCAAACCTCCTCTTGAAAGCTGAGCATTTTATCACCCACTAAGATATTAAGTATGAAAGAGGGAGAATACTTTTTAACCACGTAAGAACAGAAACTACAAGCAACTTAAGTACAAAATGCAGATCCAAAATAAATGTTCAAAGACAAAGTTTGGGGGTGCCCGGGTGGCTCAGTCAGTTAAGCATCTGCCTTCAGCTCAGGTCATGATCTCAGGGTCCTGGGATCGAGTCCTGAGCTGGGCTCCCCACTCAGTGGGGAGTCTGCTTCTCCCTCTCCTCCTACCCTTCCCCCCCTGCTCATGCTCGCTCTCTCGCTCTCTCTCAAATAAATAAAATCTTAAAAAAGAAAAAGACAAAGTTTGTAAATCCCAAGGACTTAAAAGCTTGTTTCTTTAAAGTATGTCACTCCTGGGAGCTGGTACAAAAGGATCTTCTACCATAATAATTAGAACTCTGAAAAATAATTTGACCCACAGAACATGCCCAAAAGAGGTAAGAGTCTTCCTATACCAAAAAGGTGAGCAACCACAGGAGGAACTACCTACCCATGAACTAGACCACAGACACTCAGCACTCGTTATGAGACCAATGTTTCTGGTATCAGCTATTCATGAAAACAAATGGATCTAGTCAACTAAAACACAAAATGACTTGTACCTAGATCATTAAGCAGTGAAAAAGAAGATGAGGCAAAGAAAAACTATAACCAAAAATTATTTCTAGAGAAAAGGAAAAGCAAAAATGGCAGAGAAATAAAACAGAAATGATAAAACCTAAAACCAAATTAATTCATTGGTCATTGGTAATCAAGAATACTGGTGCCAGGGAAAAGGGGCTGTATCCAACGATTTAGTTCCGACTGCTATTCAATTTCCTTTCTATTGAGAAGTCTTTCCTTTTGAAAACTGATCATCTGACAACTGACAGGGAAAGCGTGATACCTAGCAAATTCTATGACAGCAGAAGAAATGTGACAGACTCATCCAATCATTCTACACAGCTCAGAATCATTTGGAACTGTAAGAATGCCTTTTCTAACAAATAATGCAATATACGTTAAGAAAAAAAAAAAAAAAGAAGATAGCAGGAGGGGAAGAATGAAGGGGGGAAATCGGAAGGGGAGACGAACCATGAGAGACTATGGACTCTGAAAAAACAAACTGAGGGTTCTAGAGGGGAAGGGGGTGGGAGGATGGGTTAGCCTGGTGATGGGTATTAAAGAGGGCACTTACTTCATGGAGCACTGGGTGTTATACGCAAACAATGAATCATGGAACACTACATCAAAAACTAATGATGAAATGTATGGTGATTAACATAACAATAAACAAATGAAAAAAAAGAATGCCTTTTCTATCCTCATTGAAGTAGTAGATGATTTAATGCTAAAAAGGACAGTTTCAGGACATTCTATTAGATGATCTTATTTTGAAAATCTAGACATGCATAGTTTTTCTTTTCTTTTGAACTATTTCCTAAGGATTCAAAGATTATGAGATTTAACTATTGATACTTACTGCCACAGTGGTTCCCAAACGAGCTGCATGTAATACTTTATACTGCCACCATCACTAAATATTTCAGAACGCCAGAGATTACCATCCTTAGGACAAACATGTCAAGTAGTATCTTAATAATTATAATTTACAGTATCTGCAAAGTTAAATGTTCCCCCTCCCCTTTATTTATTTTTTTAATTTTTTTAGAAGAGACCCCCTTCCTCTATTTTTTTTGTAAGATTTTATTTATTTATTTGACAGAGAGAGACACAGCGAGAGAGAGAGAGAGAGAGAGAGAGAGAGAGAGAGAGAGAGAGAGAGAGAGCGCGCGCACAGGAGGGGGAGGGGCAGAGGGAGAGGGAGAAACAGGCTTCCCACGGAGCAGGGAACCTGATGCAGCTCCAGCCGAAGGCAGACGCTTAACAACTGAGCCACCCAGGTGCACCTCCCCCCTCCCTTTTAAATTTGATTTCTCCCTAAAGAGGCAGCATATACTGTAGTAGGAAATATGGGATCTGCAGTCAGACAAATGTGAGTTCAAATTCCAGCTCCTTCTTACTTTAGGGTTTGACTTTGGAGATTTATTAAGCCACTTCAAGCCTTGTTATTATATCTTTCAATATGGAAATGACCTTCATTATATAACTTTGTGAGGATTAGATGAGATGACATTTGTTAAGGGTCCTGGCAATAAGGAGGATAACTCAATGAAAATCAGTTTTCTTCTTGCGCAATCTACTTGAATTCATGTCCTCTGTCAATATACCATTTGTAGGTAGTTAAGAGCATGGGCTCTCAAGTCAGGCAAAAGTGGAAATTCTGGCTCCACACATCTATTATCGTGTGGTATCAGACAAATTATTTAATTTCACTTAGTACATTTCCTTTGCCTCTGTTCCTAATCTACAAATGAGGACAGTAACAGTACTATCTTTAAAGGGCTATTGTGGGAACTTGATAAGAATATTATATACGCTTGAGCACTGGTTGATATACAGATCAATATTATTTTTCCATTGTTATTTATTTTTCTTTTTAAAGATTTATTTATTTATTTACCTGACAGAGAGAGAGAGACAGCGAGAGAGGGAACACAAGCAGGGGGAGTGGGAGAGGGAGAACCAGGCTTCCTGCTGAGCAGGGAGCCCGATGCAGGGCTCGATCCCAGGACCCTGGGATCATGACCTGAGCTGAAGGCAGACACTTAACGACTGAGCCACCCAGGTGCCCCCTTTCCGTTGTTATTTACAAGACAGAAATTATTTCATCTGAGTCTCATAATTCTATGAATAAGGCACCTTCATATAACAAATACTTATTCAGTACCTACTATGTGCCAGGCAGATATTCCCATTTTTTTAGCTAGATTTGTCTGAAGGACCCAATAAATGGCAGAGACACAGTCCAAAGCCAGCTCCTCTCAGTCCAAGGCCACCCACTCTTTCTGGTTGTTCTATTTTGATAAATATTTAACTCTTTAACCAATCTAAAACTTTTTTGCCTTTTCTACTTTCAAAAGAATTCTCCTTGATAGAAAAGATGGTCAAATAATTCTATTTTCCTTCATCTGTTAAGAATTCATCCTCTGTCTCAAAAATAAAATACAATAATTAAATAAAAGAATTCATCCTCTGTCTCAAACAGCGTCTAAGCCTTCTTCTCTTGACATTCTGACTGTTACAAAAAGGCCCTTCCTGTGGTGCGTTGGGACTTTAAGCTTTCATTTTTACTTTTCTGTTACTGTCCATGATTAAATAGCCTTTCTCCCAATTTTAGAAAAATCAAAATTTTAGCTAATCAGAAAGCATCCTGTATTGTTCACTGGCTTTTCTCTCATTTATTCACTCAGAATTTCAATTTGATTCACAGATCAAGTGCTGCCTTTCCTTTCAAGAGCTCAAGCTATCTTTAATGTCATTAAAGTTTCTGAAGCCTGTTTTCATAAAGTTAAGGATGGGGTGCCTGGCTGGCTCAGTCAGTAGAGCATTTGAGTCTTGATGCCACATTGGGTGTAGAGATTACTTAAAATAAAATCGTAGGGATGCCTGGGTCAGTCGGTTAAGCGTCTGCCTTCGGCTCAGGTCATGATCTCAGGATCCTGGGATCGAGCCGCGCGTCAGGCTCCCTGCTCAGCGGGGAGTCTGCTTCTCCCTCTGCCCCTCTCCCCCCTCGTGTGTGCCCTTTCTCTCTAATAAAAAAATAAAATCTTTAAATAAATAAATAAATAGAATCTTGAGCAAAAAACAAACAAACAAAAAGCTTGGGATAAATATCTATACCCAGAATTCTCTTACTTATGTATTACAAATTCTTTGATGACAAGGTTGTTTTCTTTAAAGGTTCTTTTCACATATACATTACTAACCAGTTCTCCCTGGTTGGTTATAATTAAATTCAAGAAGCAATTTATCTTAACTATAGAGAACAAACTGATGGTTACCAGAGGGGAGGTGAGTGGGGTATGGGTGAAACAGGAGATGGGGATTAAGGAAAGCATTTGTTGTGATGAGCACTGGGAACTGTTGAATCACTATATTATACACCTGAAACTAACATGACACTGTAGGCTAACTATACTGGAATTTAAAACAAAAGAAGCAATTTCTGTTTTTCCAGATTTTTCTTAAACATAAAAATGTCAGCATATACATTCATTTGTTCCTTCATTCAATGTATTATAATATATAGTGAGTGTCTATGAGTTGGACATTATTCCAGGGATTTAGCAGCGAGAAAACAAACCTGCTCTTGTGGAGCTCACATGTACTAGTAGGGGAGCTCATTAACAAATTAAAACACGATGTCAGACAGTGTTGCTATAAAGACAACAGCAATGACAGAATATGACAGAGAAATGACAGAAAATGATAGAAAATTGCATCTTATTTTATATAAGATGCCCAGGAAAGATTTCTCTAAGGGAGGCATTTGAGATGAGAAATGAATGACAAAAGAGAATAGGCCAAGAGAGGTTCTTGAAGGTGGGGCATGTGGGAAAAGTGATACGGGCATGAGGAAGAGCAAATAAAAGTCCTAGGGCAGAAACAAATTTGATATGGTTAAATTTTGTCATAATCTTTAAAGGTTATTAAATATTAATCACATTTAAAAATACACTTTCAGCAGAAAACAACACATAATCACTATGGTTATCTTGCCTTGTGACAATTTTACTTGTTTTTTATGAAAGCATCATGTATACCTTCCTTCAGGCTAAATGATCTGTAATAGTCTCACAGCAATGACAATTACGTCTCCCTCCTTTAGGTCTCACTTAAATTTATTACCTATACTTCACAGATTTTCTGAGTGTTTAACCATTACATTCTGCTCAATTCACACTCATCTCGGAGATTTCTGATAAATCCGATTCTAGCTGTTTTTCTGCTTTGTTCTTTAGTTTTCTTCTGGGTCTGAAAGACTGTTTGAGAACTTCTCAATACCTGGGGTTAGTCATGTGAGTGTACAATTATGTACCTCTGCCTACTCGAACTCCCAGAACTGTTAACCTTCCTGCTAAACAAGGCTTTCTACTGTGTTCCCCACCCTTCCCTTTGGTTGAAGGCCTTTAAAAAGGATACAGCTTTCACAATCAGCCAGACCTCTAATTTAAATCGATTCTCCAAGGTTTCTAGCATAAAAGACAAAGCTATATGAATTATTCTTCCAGTCTTCTGGGGTGTCTCTGTCCCCCCTACCCCCAACTTTCCACAAGAACTGTTGTCTAATTACCTTATCAATCCACAGCTTCCCAATACCCAGTTCTTGACTCTAGCCTACTAATTCTCACAGATACCTTTTCTTTTATTAGAAAGTATCTCATAATTTATTTAGGGAGTCTAATGGTACTCTGGTTAAACAGAAGACTGGGCCAATATAAAGGTATTCAAAAGGTTTTTTTTCTCTTATTTTATTTTTTTATACTTTTTATCATAGAAATCTTCAGTCATACAATAAGTAGAGAACAGTAGAACATACTTCCATTTCCCAACACTTACCTTCAACAATTATTATATGGCCAATCTAGTTTCATCTAAAACTGCCCCCACTTTCCACTCCTCACCAGTAGATGCTCTCATTAAAACAAATCCCAGATAATGTATTTCAAGAGGATTCCAATCACTCTAAGTTGTGATCCTAGACCTGGCATCCCAGTATCTTTCAGTCTTTTTTTTTTTTTTAAAGATTTTATTTACTTATTAGAGAGACAGAGAACATGAGCTGGGGGAGGAGCAGAGGGAAAGGGAGAAACAGACTCCCCACTGAGCAGGAAGCCAATGCAGGGTTCAATCCCAGGACTCCAGGATCATGACCTGAGCTGAAGGCAGACTCTTAACCAACTGAGCTACCCAGGTACCCCTTTCAAAGTCTCTAGTACAGCCAAGTTCTAAGGGTTCCATGTCTACCAGAGCCCAACCATATGGCTAAGTTCAGTGATTATGCCTCAATTTCTAATTTCTTTTGTCATGGCAGACCATTACCCCAAACAAGTTTATTTAGGAGAATTTAAGAGCACAGGCACATGATAGCCTAACATATATAAACTATTTCACTATTTAAAAAAAAAAAAAACCTTGAAAGTACAAGGATATCACTGCATGTAGATCTAAACTCCCACACTTAATTATATTCCAACACTGAAAGGATTAGGCCTTTGACAAGATGTCAAAACAACCATATACAAACTACAGAGAAAACAACAGGCTAAAAACCTTCAAGTTGTTTATGCAAGAAAACATTTCACATTTTTTAAAAAAATGCAGTTTGGATGAGGAACAGGCCAAATCTGAATGCAAAAACCAGCTATTCATCATAAACACCATCCATTATTTAAAAACGTGATCAGGCGAGAAGCACTTCCTTATGAATGTGTGTCACAAAGCCCTGGGGACCACTTACAGCTCTGACTCGAAGAAGATGTGAGATGACAGACTGCAGCTCATCACTGTAGTGTTTCAGTTCAGTAAATCTCCTGAAACAGGACAGAAAGAAAACATCATTGTTTTCTCATGAAAGCAAGTCAAAAACTGAAAGACAAAACAGCAGTTCCTGAGAACAACAAAACTGATTCTATTTAACTATATGCTGGCTTTATGTACACACCAATACAAATTCAAAAAACTTTAAAATAAAACCACCATATTTTCTTTTGATCTTTTTAAAGATAAGGAAAGATGTCATACTTCATAATTTTTACTGTGAAACTGAGATAGAGATAAAATTTGTCTGTCTGAAAAGTTCCTTGAAAAAATTCCTGGCGCTAAACTCATGGTCTTGAACCTCAATCTTCATGCTGCTCAGTAATCTTTGTTTCCCTAATCTAATAACCACCATTCTGCATAAAGATGTGAAACTTCTGATACCACCACCTGTCGCTCTCCAACCAAGCTTCACACATTAAACACAGCCATTAGTAGGATTTCCTGCCAGTAAACACATCTACCTCTATTATTTCTTCCTTCCCTCGAGGACCCTTCTTCCCATCAATACTCTAGATTCTACCCCAGCTATACCCCATATTCCTATTTTCTAACTTCCACTCTCTGCAAGCTCCTTCTCATTAGCATATCAATTAACTCTCCTATATTAAAATACATACACACATTCCCTTGACAACACACCCAACTGCTAACACACCCTCATACCCACGCCTCTCACGGGCACACTTTGACAAGGCATTCTCTCAAGCAACCACCACCTCCCATTCACCGTGCAGCCCCCTGCAATCTAGTTTTGCCTCCAGCACCAGAGTATAGAAATACTCCAGACAAACACACTAATTATTCTCATGTTGCTAAAATCCAATGACATCCTTTAGTCCTCATCTTTCTTGGTCCTTTCAGCAGTGTAACAGTGGACCTCACCCTCCTCAAAAATTTGTTCCCTTGACACCAGTTTCATTTTCTCATGATTTTCCTTTTACTCTCTGGTTATGCCTGAAGTCTCTTTTGCAGTATACATTTCCTTCACCCACCTGTTACACCTCCCAACTTTAGCGTGCAAAGAACCTCTAAAGTGTTTGTTAGAAACGCTACCAAGGGCCTCTCAGTAGGAGAGGGGTGTGAACAAGCAAAACTGTACACAGAGACCTTAGTGGGACTCAGAAAGCTGAAGGTTTAACAAGCCCAACCCACAGGATTCAGATGCTACTAATCCTCTGATTACACTTTGGAAAACACCCTCAAAGAGTTGGCACTCCTTGGGGTCCAATCCTGGGTCCTCAGCCATCTTAATAATCAATCTTTCAATCGAAACACTCTATGTGACTTACCATTCACAAAGCTTCACAATTATAATGTACATGCTACTGAATTCCAAATTTCCACCTCCTGCCCAAATCTCTCTCCTAATAAACACCAGATCTATAACACCAACTGACTAGCAGACATTTCTACTTGCTTCCATACCCAAAGCTCAACTTATCTTCCCCTATCCCTCCCAAATCTCTCTTCCCTGTATTCCCTAGCACTCTAAAGAATGAAACCTGGGTGCCACCTGTATTTTCTGCCCCCCTCTTTCACCCCCATTCATTCTACTAATCTCTTGGTCTACCTCCTAAATATTGCCCAAATATTGTCTAAATATTGCCACATAAAAGTAGAAGACTCGAGGCCCATCTCCAAACTGCTCTTTAACAGTCTAGTTTGAAGAAACGTATCTTATTTTATTTATTTATTTATTTTTAGTAATCTCTACACAGAACATGGGGCTCGAACTCACGACCACAAGATCAAGAGTCACATGCTCTTCCAACTGAGCCAGCCAGGCACCCCAGTTTGAAGAAACATAAACATGCGTAAAGCTAGTATCATTTTGGTAATCCCTCTAAAACAATCTTTCTGGTTTTCTACATTTTAAGAAAGGACAGAATAAAAGTATCTTAATGATGTAAACTATTTTAGTAATGGTATGAATAATAATTATATATTGGGCCAGCTAGACCCAGTATATAAAATATATATAATATATGACATAGCTAGAACAGAGATTCTGTACGTGAAGAATCTGTTTTAACAATGAATGATATAGGGGTGCCTGACTGGCTCAGTCGGAGGAGCATGTGACTCTTGACCTTGGGGTCATGAGATCGAATCCCATGTTTGGTGTAGAGATTACTTTAAAATAAATAAATAAATAAATCTTTAAAAACAAAACACCAATGAATGACATAGACAATCCTCTTATCTAGAACTTAAGGCAAATAAATTCTATTACTAATTATACATTAATTATACACTTCATAAGAACAGAAGCAAAAAACTGCTTGGTTATGTTATTGGTCATATCAAATTTAAAATTCTATAATAATATGGATATTAAATAAAATTTTACAATCCAGGAACCTGGTTAGGCCAGAAAAGGGAAGACAACATTCAATTGATAAAATTTTTCATTAAATTGAAAAACATTCAATTGAACATATATTAAAATATTAATTTAAAAACAGTCTCATCTACATGCTCCTCAAATGAATGTACATCCACCAAAGTCATAAAGCTAGCTAGCCTACTAGGTTTCTCAAAGCTTTTTTTGGAGGGTGACTTAAAATTTTAGTTCTTTACCTAGAGAACATCTCTTATATACCATGCATGTCATTATAGCCTTTATAATGAAACCTCAGTAAAACCTTAAATGCATATTACTAAGTGAAAAACACCAATCTGAGAAGGCTACATACTGTCTATGACATTCTAGAAAAGGCAAAACTATGGAGATCACTGGTTGCCAGGGCTGGGAGAGAGGGATAAATAGGCAGACCACAAAGGATTTTTAGAACAGTGAAAATACTTGGGGTTTTTTGTTGTTTATTTTTATTTATTTTTTTAATTTTAAGTAGGCTCCACGCCCAAAGTGGGGCTTGAACTCATGACCCCGAGATTAAGAGTCATGTGCTCTACAGACTGAGCCAACCAGGCGCCCCAGGACAGTGAAAATATTTTGTATGATACTATCATGATGAATACGTGTCATTATAAATTCGTCAAAACCCATACAATATGCAACACCAAGAGAGAACCCTGATGTAATGTCTTTGGGTGATAATAGTGTGGTCAATATACATTAATCAATTGTAACAAATGTACCATTCTGGTGGGGGATGTTAATAGTGGGGGTGACTGTGCATGTGTGGGGACAGAGGGTATATATGGGACCTCTGTGCTATCCATTCCATTTTTCTGTAAAACTAAAACTCCTCTCAAAAGTCTATTAAGGGGCACCTGGGTGGCTCAGTTGGTTAAGCATCTGTCTTCGGCTTGGGTCATGATCTCAGGGTCC